GAAAATTCTTCAAATCTACAAACTAAAGCTTTTTATAAGAAATAGAGATAGAAACTCGTCTGTTGTAAAATTCACCCGAGTGTAGATAGGACAAATAAGCACTAAGGCGACGAATTGTAACGAGTATCAGTAACTACATGCGATCACAACTAAAACTACAAAGTTTAACTAAACTATAAATAGATGATCATAATATATCTTGTAGGTAAGCCGGTGTATTATAAAACTTGTTTGAAAAGTAAAAGTGGTATAAAATAACGCCACGCTTTTTATTTACCGAGCGCATAGGCAGAAGTGTATATACATTCAATATTAAAGGCACCAATAACAAACACTTGCATCCAGTTTCGTTACGAGTCCCACGGAGTGCTGCTTGGTCAATTCCAGACTTCGTGTCAAACTGTTTACTTTTTGGAAAAACTGCAAACTCGAGACACTGCTCGGTACTGAGGCGGGAGTGTCAGACTCTTACTGACTAAACACCACCCTACTCCTGCCCTTCGAGCGAAAGCCCCGGTAACCTCTTACTTTCTCCGCGGCTCCGTATCTGCATCAGCCCTGTTGGGCCCCATCTGTGGTGATCTGATGGCTCTTTGAGGTGCGAGTGATTGTAAATGTGAGAGCCCTGTAACCTAACCTAACCTAACTAAATTAAATTAGACTAGTAGAATGCATGTGTGTCAGCTTGGAGTTATCATGCTCACTCAAAAGTCTCATTGGCAGTGGCGCGTGCAGTAGATCGCTCGATTCCCTACAACATGGTTTAGTTAGGCAGTGCTGGTGTACGTGTCATGTTCGTGAACGGGCGCTGTCAAATGGGACTGGTCAGCTCCAGACTGTATTAAATTTGTTGTCCTCAAGGTTATTTTCTTTTTCCGTCTCCTTGACCAAATATTGGTATTACATTGTTCTCACATTATTGAACTCAACGGAAGAATGTAACCAAATATTGTATTGTAAACCTGATTGAAAAAGAGTAACCTATGGAGTTTCTTGCTCGTTCTTCTCCATAGGAATCTACACTTTGGAACGAGCAAATAGCTTCACTAGAGGACTGACCTACAGACTGATATTTTTTCTTATTATTTAAATATTTTGTTTTGACGTTCAAAAGTGCCTTCCTGGTCTAATTGAAATAAATGATTTTGACTTTGACTTTGCACGGAATCCGTGCTTACGGTGGCCGGAGATCGTCCCGCGATCCCCGACGCCCGGAGTGTCCTTCACTACGGCTGGGTTGTGAGGAGGCAGACCTTCGGTGGCTCACGCGCCCCGCCTTCTCCCTAGCTAGCATGACTGCTTTGCAAAAGGAGGAGACGGCATCCTAGTTCTACTCGCTTCGCTTCATGGCCCGAACATGGGCCGGATGCGAGAGGTCGCCGTCGCCGATCACATCCCTCAGGGCACGGCGGTGCTCACATGCAGGGCATGCCCCTACCGTGTGTCCCACCGTGTCCTCAGGGCGGTCCTTACAGTGATGACTCCCGGACGTTTCCTCCCGATTGTGCCCTATCAGACACAGGTAACTCAGTCAGGCGGTAGGTGAGGAGGTGAGCGTGTCTCAACACACTCCTCAAAGAGGGAACCTACCGCTGCAATGGCAGCGAGCCCAGCCCTCGGTTGCGACAGCCGTTGCTGCCACCGCCATGTGTTATTATATTATATGCCTCTGTACCTATCAAATTTTGTCGTGAGTGTAACAGACATACCTACATACTACTTACATAATATATTGTGCATATGTATATCCTCACAAACTTTCGCATTTATAATAATAATGAGTAGTAGGAAGTAAGACTAATAGGATTAGCAGGATTAGTAGGATTATGACAAAAAATTAATTAAAACCCAAAAAATGTTGTATATTGTACTTTTCATTATTTGGTTCCTTGTAAAATAGGTGTCCCCTACTTCCACTACCTATGTACTTTCATACACCTTTTACCATTTTAGGAGCATTGCGCATTGGCGCCCCACGGGTCTGAAAGAAAGAAAGACCATTTATTTTGCCACGACACACAACCAGAATTTAGGAAAACAAACATGTGAATATAGAATAGATGAGTAAATAGCCAATAGACGGCTACAAGTAGTTTAAAATCATTGTGGAGTCGTTAGTAAACGATTGAGGAACAAATGACATCAACGTTTAGTGATATCATTTGTACCATCAGTAGGTGCGTTTCGAGGAATACGCACATTACTTAATTTATTTTAAATTATGAATATCGTTATTGAATATGGAATTAATATCAATATTAATTAAAACAAGCCCCGCACCGAGTGAAATAGACACCATCGGTGCAGGTAACTATTAATAAGACTTTCAATTTGATTTAGTTTAAGTAAACTGTTTAACTAATAAATATTTAAAAGTGTCGACTGTCGAGTATGTGACCGCAACACGACACGCGTCTATGCAAAACTTCATGTCTTCGGTGAAATTGAATACTTTCCCGCGCCGCGCCGCGGCTGCTTCTGCGTACTAATATAGTTTGGGGCTTAGAAAGGATGCAAAGGCTTTGATTTTGTGACGTTCTTACGGACAGAGGGAGAGCATCTCTAAATAGGCAATTAATACAATTTTATGAACAGAGAGTCGCACCCTTACCTTGAGATAGTGCGAGGGAACACAATGCCATGGTGTCTGTGTAACGCGATAGTATTGTGCACTAGTCGCTGCCGCGGGGCGAGCTAGTGTTGCGCTGGATTACTGCGCGGTGTCCGCGGCTTATCACCGCGCACCGATACAGCTCGCGTCCGCATACCTGCCGCGATTACGATATCGCACGCACACATGCGCACCGCGCTGTAGTGTTGGTGCAAACATTCGTGAAGCTCGCGTCGCGTACATCGCGCTCAACTTTAGTCAATTATTTGTTATTCACATTCTTCACAATAAGACGCTATAATATAAACCTTCGTCAAACATATAGTGGTCTCCAACAACTCTGAGAGGTTCCGTGCCATTACATGTACACGTGTACAGCACAGCGCCGACAGTCCGGTGCACACCGCGCCGGGGTGTGAGTGAGTTTCTATAGTAAGGTGAAACAGTTCCTCCACTCCTTGCACGCAAACAGATTCCAGGAGATTCTTCGCTCCGGTACAATAAAACAAAGTAAGTACCTGCGGTGCTCGGCGCTTGGCGCTGTATTGGAATGTTTGTATACACCCGGTACACCCGGTACACCCGTCCCCCGTCCCCCGTCCTCGTTCCGATGACAGTAGTTACTGTACGCGCACGCGTCGGACACAGATTTGGCTCCTTGTAACTACAAGTCGCCATACTAACATCCTACGAAAGCTCTAGCGAAAACTGTACAGCTCGCAAACCTCAACCCAGTTGAAGGTGATAACCAAAACAATACTTCTCCACACGGGAATCGAACATCGACTTTACCCACGCAGTGGTTCTCGTAACTTCTCGCACTTCCTGTAATATTAATGCAGCGTAATGTTAGATATGTACCTATACATATGTATATATATATTTTTTATGGGGGGAAAATCATCGAATGACTTCTCCCGCCTGTGTGAGGCTGGAGGGAGTGTCAGGCTCTTACTGACTAAAAACCACCTCGTTCCTTCTCCTGTACTGAGCCGGAGCCCCGGTAACCCGTTAGGTTCTCCGCAACTCCGAATCGGCATCAGCCCTATTGCGCCCCATCCGTGGTGGTCTGATGGCTCATTGTGGCGCGCGCAGAACGTACGCTCGGGCCTGGTTCTGGTCGGGCGGCGAGCCACCCAAGCTCGCCATCCGCAGGCCCGCGCTGACGGTACGCCGACGCCCGGAGCGTCCTTCGCGATGACTGGGTTGCGAGGAGGCAGCGCTTCGCTGACTCACGCGTCCTCTGTCCGTGTTACTTGATTCTGTTCTTTAAGTTGATTTATCACTTTGCCCACATTTACATAGTGAAAATTTATATTTGTTCTTTTGTATTATTTTGTATTGGTTTCGTTTATATGTACGTACTACTGTGCGCTCTAAATTGCTTACTTTTGTGTGAAATAGTTTCTCAGTAAGTGAATTATGTATGTGATTCTTTGTGAGAAATAAAGATACTATATTCTAAACCAAAGTTTGCTTAGATCTTTGAAACTACGCCACGGATTTTGATGAGGTTTTTTTATAGATAGAGTGGTTTAAATAAGGTTTATATGTATGATACATGCTTATTGCACCCGTGCGAAGCCGGGGCGGGTCGCTAGTGTACAATAATAACAAGACATAGAATCCTTAAGCCAATTACAGAGTTTGTCAGCAATCAGCGTGCGAGGAAAGTGACCAACATGAAATAAAAATAAGAGAAACAAGGAATATTTACAAGTATAGTTAGTCGGTTGATTAGTTAAAGCTAAGGGCCGAAACTTCCATCCACAGGCCACTCCTGACAGTAGACAGCTGGTACGGACGAGTTGTAGAATATATTCAAAATAAATAAATTACAGAGACCTAGCAGTAGCGTTTGTCGATAAACCTAATCCTTTAATACTGCGGTCTTCTACTTAACAAGGTAAACCTCTGTTCTGTAGAGGAGACCCACCGTTCAGCAACAAACTCACAGACTACTCACAAAGTTAATCATTTATTTAAATTGCTGTATCCACCTTGGATTGAGCAGCTTTATTATTGTTTTCATTCCCATGGACAAGAACGAGGAAGAAACTTCAGAATTCTCTAGTTATATAGTTTTGTTGGTTCTGTTGAAAAAAAATAACAGAGACAACTCTAAGCTGACAAAAATTAATTGTACTTAGTATTAAGTTGTAGTGTCACGGCATGAAGTAGTCACCGTGGCAGTGACCGGTGGTCAGTGGTCCGTGTTCACGAGCGGCGCAGCTCGTTAAGATGCTGGCCGCGTACGCATGCGCGGTGCGCGGACCTCTCACTCGGAGAAATCGTCACCCGGCGAGCAATGGCATGTGCTTGGTGTGTTGCAGGTGCCGGGTCTAGTGTGGGAGTGCCGTGATGAGCTCGCTGCGCGCCTGAGCCAGCGATGGGGTCGCGCGGCGGAGGCACGGGGCGCTCGCGCGGGGACACGCAGCGCGCGCTCGACGAGTTCGACGAGCTGGCGGGGCTCCGCGGCGCGGGCGCCGGCGCCGACAGCGCCAGCCAGGCCGAGCGCAGCGTGTACGTGCTCGAGCACCTGGCCACCTTCACCGTCACCCGGGAGACCGGCATCGTGTATCCCGCCGATGGCATGCGGAGACTGCTACAGCTAGAGAAAACCAACGGTCAGTATACTCACTGCTACTCGCGCACAGACTAGTCATTCATTGTACACGCGGAGGCTGCCTGGCCTGACACTGACGCTTCCTCTGCTTGCAGGAATATGGAGCCAAAAAATGCAATTATGTCTGGAGGGTTCGTGGGTACTGGTCATGGACTACGAAACAGGAGTAAGTTCTATCCATTCTTGTTTGCCTTATTCATTATCTTTACTGCCTGTTGACAAATTTGAACTTACACAGACATGTTTATTGAAATGTCGTGTTTTCTATAATTCCAGTCGATAATGGAACGCTTCCCCGCGTCTTGGGTGCACACCCCAACTGCATTCACATCGCCGGAGCCCGCCGAGCTGTACAACAACGTGCTGGCGTTCGTGGTGGGCGCGGCAGAGGGCGCGGGCGGGCCAGGGACGCCCGGCGGGGCGGGGGGCGCACCGCGCCGCGAGCTCCACATCTTCCAGTGCCACGACGTGAGCGCGCAGGTGCTCGTGGAGGAGCTCAATGCGCTCAAGTAAGTGTCGGCCCTGACACTGCAGGCTGGCTTACTCTCCGATACACAACAAAGCGACTGCCGCGAGATAACGCGCGTTATCGCCGCGCGCCGGTATCTCGACGTGGCGGAGAGCGGCTCAGCCTCCGCGCGCTCAGTCCGCTGCGCTCCTCGAATGATCTACATCAAGCACAAGATCGCGCTGCCCGTGGCCGCCTACTCCTGGTAGTGCCCTGTGTGTGCGTGCCGTCTGTGTGTACTAGTGTTCATACTGTCGCTACACCCCGACCACCTGTCTATACTTCCATACCACTTGACCTTGACATGAAGTTAGTCAGCAAGCTTCAGTGCACATGTGTTTAGTGTTGTGAAAATGTCGAATAATAGGACCTCAATACTAAGAGGCTCCCACTGGAGGAATAAATTATAGTGGCCTGTACCAAGTTACTGTCAGCGCTGGCCGCGTTCCCATCCATTATCCCAATATAAGCATTCACGACAAAAGTGATGAAATATTAACGCGTGTGTGTAATGTGTATGTGTGCAGGGGTGTGACGGGAGGTGGCCCCGGCGACGGCGGACGAGACTTCATCATCGAGAGAGAGCGCGAGCGGGAGCGGGAGAATGATGGCGAGCGCCCGCGGAGACAGGTTCGTACAGCCAGACACTACTACACTAGGTACACATAGCTGACGCGGCATACGACTGCAGACCTGTTACTAGCCAGTGCAATAGTTCAGTTTAACTAAACCGCTGCACCTGCATCGCAACAGCAGCCCGGGCAGGAGGCAGGGAGATGTCGCTGCGGTACGTTACGACTTTCGCCCGACGTAATCATTACTCAGCCGCTAACTAATATCGATCCGGTTATGTATTCACAGTTTGCTGGCGTGCATTACGTTACGTGAGTGCACCGATAACATTCCATGTATGATATCACGTACCCACGTAGATGTTTAAGCGGCAACCAGTGCAGTCAGTGAGCGGCAGCTCGGCCGGGACTGCTGGGGTATAGTCAGGTGGTGCGTCGTGGCGGGGACCGAGGGCCGGCTGGCAAAGGGATTTGTTTTTGTTTTGATACACATTCATATGCTGGAGTGACCGACAGACTGTATGGTGTGTGCGTGTGTGTGTGCGTCACCGCGCAACAATGCCGGTTCTAGAAATAGTCGCGGCGATTACATCGGCAGCGCGTATCGTGCGCGCTATCGTATCGATCCGAGATAACCGCGCTGATAGCCGGAGCTGGTCGCGCACTGCGCAGGCGCACGGTGACGTCACACGCTCACTACCTGCCATGTAAGCAGGACACGTTCGTCCTAAGATTGAACCCTAACCTTAGGAGACATTTTGCTTCAGTAAAAAACATCTTAAAACACATTCTAACATATTTTATAACGTAGAAATTATTCTTTAAAGGTGCTCCCTCACTGGTAGCAGTGGTAGCATTTGCATGTAATGTAACATGTAGATTCGACTTTGAGCATTTCATAGCAAGATGTCAGACGAAGCGGGCGGGCGGGGGGGCTGGGGGAAGTGGAGCGCAATGATGTTACAAGTTGTATCAAGATGTTACATATTGTATCATTACAAGGTGCGCATTGTAATGCTCGGTTCTCCTCCTTCACTGATGTAATGCTCAGTTCTGTAATGTTACATTACACGCGAATGACGCGAATGCTCCCGGTGAGGGAGCACCTTAAGATAAGATTACATGTTGGAAGTTGCAATACGGCGTTCAATCAATGTAAATGTTATGCATTCCGTGTGGACTGTGGCCCGGTCGCACGGTACCGACCTAGGTATTCTAAGGCTAACAAGTAAAAACAATGACAGTACCACACACTATAGTGCAGATATGTGTGTGTGTCTGTACACAATATCTACTGAGAGGAATAAAAATTGAAGGAGTGCCGATATAATTCCATTCCAACAGTGGCGACACCTGTCGCCTGGATGCACTGCGACATGTCGGCGGGCCCGCACCTCCCTGTACAGCTGGGAGCATACAGCAGCTTGTTGGTATATAGCTATCGATCTCGACCTTCTTATGTTTCAATAGATTAACATTTTCAAATATTACCCAACATAAAGAACTGCGACATTTCGATATGCTTCGGATAGGTACTAACCAACACACAGCTACGTCCCTAGTTTCGTAAGCCACATAATGTTGTATGCTGCATATATCTGTGTGTGTACATACATTGTATGTTGAGTCATACGAACCTTCACATCGGCGTGTTTATCTTATCACAACTCATTACAACATTACAGGTACAATCTGAAAATATTAATATTTCAATGTTTCCAAATCCTATGATTTAGCATTTATATGTAAAGGCGACTTAGTTTAACTGAAAGTGGACGCAAGTTACATTTATTAGGTCCTGTATAGAGGGCAGAGTGCGTAGAGTGAGAGAGAGAGTGAGACAGAGAGTGAGGCAGCAGTCACAGGTTGTTGTTGTTGTGGTGCGCGGTCGGTGGCGTGTGGATGGCCGAGTGCTTGATTAGCGGATTAGTAGTAGCGAGTTATCAGCGCGATAAGCTCGGAGCCCGAGCCGAGCGCGCATTCGGCGCCCGGCGGCCGCGGCGGCACCATGGAGCCACGACTGTACACCACGTACACGCACCAGCAGTGGGAGGCCGTGCTCACCGTGAGTACCGCCGCCTACTGCGAGCTCCAGCGAGCTCCCTGGGGTGCTCAATGCTGACAACTGCCACTGTTTGTGTTGCAGCAAATGTCGGCGCAGCTCGGGCGCGGCGAGCGCGGCGGCAGCGGCGGCGAGCGGGACGACGCGTCGTCCACGGGCTCGGAGCGGCTGTACGAGCAGGACATCGCCATCCTCAACCGCTGCTTCGACGACATCGAGAAGTTCATCGCGCGGCTGCAGCACGCGGCGGCGGCGCAGCGCGAGCTCGAGAGGCGACGGCGCTCCCGCGGCGGCCGGCGGGGGACAGGTGCGTGCTACAATAAATGCAAATACAGGACTTACAGGCACTCTTAAATACGATAAATAATTGTATGTCATGTATGTCACTTAGTCAGTCAGTCAGTCAGTGAAGGTAAGCGGTGAGACTAGAATCATATGGTAAAGAAACTTTAACTTTTATGGAAAAAATGAGTTAAACCATCTGGTAAATACACCGGATAACCCACCATAGATTCCATTACGAGTAGTGCTCGGTCCCCAGGCAGCGGCGGTGCCAACGCGGGCGAGGGCATGCTGGCGCTGCGCACGCGGCCGCCGCCGGAGCGGGACTTCGTGGACGTGCTGCAGAAGTTCAAGCTGTCGTTCAACTTGCTGGCCCGCCTGCGCGCGCACATCCACGACCCCAACGCGCCGGAGCTGGTGCACTTCCTGTTCACTCCGCTGGCGCTGATCGTGGACGCGGCGCAGGACACGGCGGACGGCCGCCTGCCGTCGCGCGTCGTGCAGCCGCTGCTGACGCGGGACGCGCTCAACCTGCTCGCCAACTGCGTCACCAGCAAGGAGACCGAGCTGTGGCACTCGCTGGGCGACGCCTGGCTCATACCCAGGTACCTCCCATGTTTATCGTATCGTGCTGAGCTCTAATCCTTGGCCATCATTTATTATTAGCCACCAGATAATCCGCGCGGTATAGAATTCCGGTGAGCATCGATAAAGAGGCACTGTACGTAAAATAAACAGATAACATATCAGTATCATTCAAATTATTATGATAGTATGCAAATTATGAGCCACATTAAAGCGAGACCCGGCGCATTCCACGCGGTGGTGCAGGTGCATGCATGCACAGCCTGCACAGCCACCAGTTCACTGCCCGTGCAGTCAGGAAAGGTTTTAATGGGTACCCACGGAACAGCCTGCGTCGGAGGAGACCTCATAATTATTTATTGACTTGGAATGTTAATGCTTAATCTTTACTAATCTTTAGTTAGGTAGCTGTATCTTATCTCTGTGTATTAATTTATTAGTCAGCGACTATGTTGAACAGTTGCGGCATGCGCAGCTCTGTGGCGTACAACCACAACGAGCCGTGGTCTCTCTCCACGTGTATATAACAGGGTTGCTCTGTCTGTCACCAGGGAACAATGGAAGACAACCATCCCGCCGTACCAGCCAGTGTTCATGGACGGCTGGAGCCCCGACTACCAGGTGGACGACCAGCCGCTGCGGAGGTGGGGACCTTAACTGTACATGTTTATATTGTCTGTATGTGGGTACATCTATGTGTACATGTTCACTGGATCGTGGTAACTGCGACCGCCGGCTGAGTATCAGCACATTCTCGGCTGTATTACACCAGCGAGTCATCCCAACTTTGATCATAATCAGCAGCAACTAACATTAGCGTCGTGGTGGTGGTTTTGTGTTACCTGGTACATTATACCATCTAGATAATAGTACCTATTGTGTTGTCGCTTTGTGTCGTGACGTGTCGTGTCGTGTCAGGTCGTCTCCGCGCCGCAGCTCGGGCGGACGCGCCGAGCTGGCGGCCGCCGAGCCCGCCGCGTACGAGCGCTATGAGCGCGACGAGCCCGACATGTATGCCGAGCAATACGCGCCCTACCCCAGGTATGCAATACGCACTCGACTTTAGATATGCAATACGCGCCCTACCCCAGGGTAGCATACCATAAAATACTATGTTATGTTACTGTAACAGTTACTTACTATGTTACTTTGGATTTTGTAATTTGGTGTGGTAGCCAATGAAGCTGCATAATATATTCAGTAAAGTCTACCAAGTGTGAGAATGGCAATCACTGTCGCTGCTTATGTTTACAGGAACATGCGCGGTATGGGGCGCGACGACTCGGGCAGCGCGGCCTCCTCGCCCGACAGGGAGCCCTACCGGGGCGACCGGGACGACGGTAAGAGGGGACAGTGTCGGGCAGAGCTGTGCCAGTACTGTAGCAACGCGGACTGGGTACTGACAGTACTGTGTGCTTGCAGATGACCTGGGCGAGGCGTGGGCGCGCGGCGTGATGGCGCGCGGCGGCCGCGTCGTGCGCGTCACGTACCCGCGCACCGCCAACAACGACAAGGAGCTCACCGTCGTGCGCGGCGAGTACCTCGAGGTGAGTACCCGGTACCCCCGCCCTGACGCTGCGGTGCTTGTGACGGGTGCGGTGTACTGTACGCGGGCTGTGCAGGTGCTGGACGACTCCCGCAAGTGGTGGAAGGCGCGCAACCGGCGCGGCGTGACGGCGCACGTGCCGCACACTATCGTGGCGCCGGCGAGCTCGCCGCCCGCCTCGCCGCACCTCTACCCCAACCCCATCTACACACACTACCAGGTTAGTCCCATGTAACCATCCCAGACCTAGCCAAAACTCAGGCAAATAAACAAGCAATACGAATATTGAAGAGTTATCTGATCAAACCTGTAATTCACGTTCGGAACACTTACTTGAAGATATAGGCATACCATACGTAGTTGGTTGGTTGAATGAAAGAATGAATGAATGTCATTTATTTCTCAGTACAGGTTGTGGACGTACATCTACTCCCTACCTATGATCAAATAAAATGATATTGGTATTTCTTTGTATTGAATAGTACCGACCGACACTAATGAACAATAGAAACAAAGCAAAGTCTCGACGTGTGTAATTATTTGGTTCACTGACACGTGTTCATGTTGCAGGAGAACGCAGGCGGGCGCGGCTCCGGCGGCAGCAGTCCCACAGGGCCCACGGGTAGGGGCGCAGGGGGGCAGGCCGGGGGCGCGGGGGCCGCGGGGCCGGGTGGCGCGGGCGCCGCCGACTGGGTGCGCCGCGAAAGGCTCGGCAAGAAGGGCGAGTTTCGCTACTTCTAGCGCGCATGACGCGTGCTAGACTGCGCTAGGCGGAGCCAGGTGGAGCCAGGCGGCGCCCAGTCGGTCGCGTGCTTGAGTGTTTGCGCTTGCCTCGTGTTGTCGCGTCCGAGTGACTGTGTCGTGTGTGTACATGTGTCATAAAGTCTGATTTAAATTATTAACTTTGTCAATGTATACGTAGTACAGTCGCCGCTCCGCTCGTACCGAGCGCCGAGCGAGCGACGAGCGCGCGCCGCGCACTGTCCGATACTTATCATTGTATTGATTTAAATTATTACATTGTGATTAATCATGAATATATACAGAGGAATAATATATCTGTAGCTAGATATTATGTAGATGAAACAATGATATGGGTATATTTTCATACAATTAATATATTGTGAGCGGATCCTCTCCGCCGTCATCTAAGTATATAATGCTCCCTATATGTACCTACTTTATAATTAAATTCATTTCTATCAAAGTCGGTGTTGGTCTGTCTGTGTCCCTCCCGCGATACAGTTGCCAGCCAGGCAGCGCCCTCTACCTCGTCTGTCACACAAGCTTGTTTGTGTGTGTTTGTGCTTCGCTTACATAAATGTTGTTTTCGTGTGTGTCTGTGTATGCAACCGTGTCACGGTAAGTCAGCTTATTTTTTGTTTTGAACATGTATTGCCTTTGTCAACTATAGCTGATATATAAATATTGTCCTTTGTGAACGTTGATACTTAGTGTGACGTGTACAAGTGAGCGCAACGTTACAGAGCGAGCGATGCCGCCTCCCCCGCCGCCCCCGCCGCCGCCGCCCCCCGGCCCCGCCGCCCCCGCGCCGGTGTTCGCCGCTCCACCACCCCCCCGCACCACCTCTGACACCGTCAAATGTAAGTTCCATTCCATCATCACGTCACTTTACATTTCCTACTAGATGTGTCTAGGCCAGGGACTTAACCAAACACTGGCAACTGTTTGCAGCGACCAAGTCAATGATGGGCCAAAACGACGGGCTGCAGGAGGAACTGAAGCTGGTGCTGCCGGCCATCCAGCAGCGAAAGAATAAACTCGACATCAAGAAGACACCAGACATCTTCATCGACCAGGTACTTCACAGACCCGCCGACACGAATAAGGTCATATACCTAACATACTGCTGAGAGTCTCGGTCGTCACAGTGATTTACTATTCGCAGAAATCAAACCCCGACGAGGTAGCAGAATGGTTGGAAGCGAAAGGTTTCAACGCGGCCACACAGCGCGCACTGCGCATGCCCGGACACCAACTGTTCGCCCTGACGCGCGCGCAGCTGGAGAAGGCGCTGGGCGCGGACGAGGGCAAGCGTCTCTACAGCCAGATCCTCGTGCAACGCAACATCTCGGGGGTGAGTCGTCGGCTCTACGGTGAGGCACCGGCTCGCTCTCACTCACTCACTCACTCACTCACAGTCAGCCACGCGCTACAGTTACTGTACAGCACTGGCTCTCTGTTACAGTACAAGACGACCTCCGCGTCGGAGCTGCAGAGCATCCTACGCAAGGTGCGCGAGAAGGTGGAGGTCTCGTGAGCAGAGTGGGCGGGGCGGGCACGGCGCGCGCGCTGCGCGTGCTGCCGGCGCCGCGCTGCACGAGGACGACGACTCGTCGGTGTGCTGACACAGTACATAGGTTATACTCTACGCTGTAAGGATGATTTTTTAACATTTTATAAGGTAAGCGATAACTTGTTATAGGCTAAATCTTTAATATTTTGTATTAATTATTTATAAAATGATCATTAAAATGAAATTATGTTTTGTTATTTAAATGTGTGTTTCATTTAGAGAACAATATAAGATAAGATAACATAGATAAGAAGCCTTTATTTCCCAGAACCCTTAAATAATTACATAAGTAGAGATATTGAAATGATTGTTTTTTTACTCCAGGTAAGTATTACACTAGGTTGTGAGGCCCTCCTCGGGTGACGGCCTCCTCCAGTTGTTTTTTCAATTCCCTCTGTCTTTAGCCATGGTTTGTCAATCGTCTTCTTGGTCATTAATCATCTTTTTGGTTTGCCTACTTTTCTTTCACCTGTGGGCCCTTTCCATTTTTCTTATGTTTAACATACCTCTCTCCATAGCCCTTTGTGTAGTTTGGAACTTTTGCTTAGCTTTTACCGTAAATACCCAAGTTTGGCAGCCGTACAGCAGGCAGGGCAGTATGCACGTATCTATTGCTGTTTTCTTCATGCTTATTGTGTAGTCTCCTTTAAAGATTTCTTTGAGTGCTCAGAATGTCTTCCATGTTATATTGGCTCTCCTTTCAACTTCGTCTTCGTTGTTTGTGTTCTTAAACGATACATGTTTACCCAAATAGATGTAGTTGTCGACATATTCTATTGTATTTTCTCTTATGATGATAGATAGGCTTTCCACGCATTCATTTCCAAACCCACTTCGTAGCTTACTCCGTCAAGTGAGCATTTCTTCGAGGTCGCGTTTCTGACATTATAACTATGTCATCTGCAAATCTTAAATGATTTAAATATCAGTTGTTAATGTTAATACCTTTTGATTTCCGATCTATCTTCTGAAATATGTTTCCAAAACAGCAATAAATCATTTAGGCGACAATGGATCACCTTGTCTAACTCTCCAATTTTTATTATTTCCCCTCTTGACTCCAGTTTGACTTTGCTTGTGCTATTGTTATATGTATGTTTTTAGAATTTTTATATATTTCAGATTAATGTCTAGGGTTTGTAGTGCTTTCCGTATGGCTGATGCTGTCGAATGCTTTTTTATAGTCAATAAACGCAAGGTACAGCGGCTTGTTAAATATTTTATATATTTCTATGACTTGTTCCAGTGCCTGTAAGTGATCTAGTGTACTAAAGCCAGGCATCCTGCTTGTTTTACGGGTTGAGCATTATCAATGTCTTGTGCTATGCGTTTTAGAAGTAGCGATGAGAAGATTTTGTATGAATGAATGAATGAATGAATGTCCTTTATTTCTCAGTACATGGTGCACACAGATCTTAAAATTAACAGAGTTCCACACATACTACCGTTACCGGTGTAGAAATATAAAATTGTATTAACAATATTAATTTATGTCGCATTAAAGAAGAAATTATTATTATTATTATTGGAAACAATTCAAATACATTAAAACAGGTAAAGTCAGAAAATAAATTAGAAATGTCATAAAATTAAGATGTCATTATGTATCAGTAGTCAAATTGCAATATACTAAAAAGTCAATTAATTAATTGTCACAACAAATCAGGAAGTCAGGTGAGGCAACATGGAGGCAACTGATTAGCACGATGATACAGTGGTTTAAAAAGCTGCATACCGACAGCTACTGTTACTTAGAAAATCTCGGGTACAATAAAAACTCTCCTGAACCAACCACTTTTGTAAGGCACAACAAAACGGTTTATATGGCAGCTCGCTAATTCCTCGGGGCAGACAGTTAAATATGAGCGGCGCCATATATGCACAACTTTTTCTGTAAAGCTCCAGTTTAGGTATGGGCATTTTCAGGGGCAGCTGAGTGATCAAGCGTCTGTTAGCATTATCGTTAGCAACGAACAAATAACTATGATATTTCACAAACTTAGCCACTTCGTAAATATAAATGCTAGGAACAGTCAACAGTCCTTTAGATTTAAATACGGGTTTGCAAGAATCTGACCATCCCATGCCAAACAATGCACGAACGCATTTTTTTTGGGCCACAAAGACCCTCGTAATTTTAGAGGAGTTTCCCCATATGACGATACCATAACGTATTATGGAACAAATATATGCATGATATACCATATTGGAACTTTGAATGGATGTTACGTCTTTTATTTTCCGAAGTGAAAAGACAAACTTCGCTACGCTATTACTTTTTTTGTCAAATTGTTATTAATGTTATTCTAGTAAGCTGTTTTCTATTTTGCAAATATGATCGAAACCACGACAGTGATGAACCTCTAATTTCACAATTAGCTAATTTTGAAAGGAGTAAAGAATGATCTACAAAGTCAAATGCTTTACTCAAATCTAATAGTAAGGCAGATGTGGGAATGCCATTGTTAATATTGTTAATAATGCTGTTTACTAATGTGTAGGTGGCCAACTGTGTAGATCTGCATCTTCTGAAACCAAACTGTTCCTTTGCTAAAATGTCATATTTATCCAAGAAATTTAAGACTCTTTTGTACATAATCCGTTCAAATACCTTGGATATAACAGGGGTAAGTGCAATAGGTCTGTAATTGTTTCTATCGAGCTTTGATCCTTTTTTGTGTAGCGGTTTTATTATTGCCAATTTTAGTTTCTCTGGAAAACATCCCTGTTCTAGGGAAAGATTAATTATATGTGACAACGGTTCAGCTATAGACCTAGCTACAGTTTTCAACAAGATTGAATTAATATCGTCATATCCTGCGGACTTAGAATTTTTCAAAGAATTAATTGTATTAAAAACTTCATTTGGATTCGTGGGACTTAAAAAAATACTATTTGCATTTGTTTCAACATTATATATAGGGTTCCTTGCTAGTTTGTGTATTCTTATGCACTATATCTATAAAAAAATCATTAAATGAATTGGCTATGTCCGACCCAGTAGATGCCAGACTATCACCATCGATAATGTTCTCGATACATTTACCACTACAATCATTATCACCTACATAACGTTTAACTATTTCCCATGCAGCTTTACCTTTATTTTTAGAATTAGCAATGTACTTAAGATTGCTAAGAGTCTGAAAGCTAGTGATACACCTCCTCAGTAATTTCGAGTATTTTAAATAAGATTTTTTATTTACTTTGTTTTTATTTAAGTAATAGTTATAACGTAAGATTCGTTTATTTTTACAACTAATTTTTAACCCTTTTGATATGTAGGTTAATTTGCCACGTCTGAAACTCTTTTTTACTTTAACTCGTCGAGTACCGGTTTTATAGACACAATTAAAGAACAATGGGTCGCGGTCACCGGTGACCGCTTGGTGTTTTGACAGTTTAATCAATGGGAAACAAAGCTTATAAAACAATGTCAACTCGCTGTGAAATGCATCGAAAGCACATGTTTGTACATGTTTGCTAGTGAGTTTGTCGTATGATATATTACATAACGTCAATACAAAAAACCAACGGGGGTGGTCAGCGAGCGGTCCACTCGAGGTGTAGTGGAGGCGCCCGCGTGGGTACGCCGCGCCGACGGCGAGCTGACGGCGAGCTGACGGGCGAGCTGACGGCGAGCCGCCCACCAGGCGCCAGCGAAACAACGTCGCATCATAGCCGTACCGGAGCCGTGCTTACTAGATGTGCGATGTCCTTAAGTCTGGGCCACTGAACTAAATTGATTAACCACGGAGTTGCAGAACAATACTGCATTAATTAAAGCCAACAATGTACCAATTACACATTTATGTATGACGGCGACACATTATGTTGGTGGCACATATTCAGATAACATAATTTTTAAGAAAAGTACGATGGAATTACTCGGTCGTTCTTCAATAGTACGAACTGCGGACTCTAGCGTTTTAAAACTAACACGATTAATTGAAACAATATAATACATACAAAACAAAACTGCATTTAAAGAAACCGACTTCAATGAAAGGAAAAAATTACTATTATTGGTCATAGACGTACTTGTAGCTTTCACACCCACTGATAGATTAGAAGTCGGTGCCACAAGTTTTAAACAAAACTCTTTATTAAAACCGTAATAGATACCTAACATTATTAAGCTGTTTACAATTTTATTATGGATTTCACTCGCTCTGCTCGGCGCCTATTAATCGTAGCGTGATATTTTATAGCCTATACCTAGCCTTCCTCGATAAATGGGCTATCCAACACTGAAATAATTCTTCAAATAGAATCAGTAGTTTCGGAGATTAGCGCGTTCAAACAAACAAACAAAAAAACAAACTCTTCAGCTTTATAATATTATATACTAATATAGTATAGATATATAGATTATACTAGCTGTGACCATTCACTATTTTATATTTTGTTACTTTGTTGTTTTTGTGGCACCGACTTCTAACCTATCAGTGGGTGTGAAGTCGGTTAAAAAAGGTTGCCTGGTAGATATCGCTTCTAGCGACAAGGCTGCCGCGTACCCTATTTTGTAGCTCGACATTATTATACTATCTCAAATTGGTATACAATAAAGATTAGTATAATTCTCTTTATTATCGACTTCAAAAAAAGGAGGTGGTATGTACATGTTCGGCTGATTGTCATTTCCATGAGGTAAGGATCTGGTGATGGAATTCTAGGGAAACCGAGGGGAACTTTCGAAACTTGTGGGGGGAGTAATGCGTCTAATATATTTTTCAATTAGTATTTTTAAACACTACAAATTGATAAGGGTCTGGAGTAGATCTGATGATGGAGCCAACAGACAGTCGAGGGAATGTGGTGTAGTAGTCGTAAGATATATATTAAGCATTCATTACACTCATCCAAACACCCAACCTTACATGGCGACCCTGCCAGGACCATAGCACGGCACGGGGCCGAGCGCGTGTGCTCCATATACGGGCAAATTATTCTAAACAATAAGTGGAAAGTTACAGGCGTCTTTAACTCGTCGAGTACCGGTTTTATAGACACAAATAAAGAACAATAGGTCGCGGTCACCGGTGACCGCTTGGTGTTTGACAGTTTAAAATGAATAGAATAACATCGGAGCTCACGGCGTATACAACACGTCTTATTGTTACGCATCTTTGTTCGTTCCAAAGAAGTCAAAGAACAAGTGGTGATTGCCCAGACAGCTGGAGTCGGTAGCAATACGGCTCGTGCGCAGCAACTTCATGAGACCACTAATGTAATTCTGGTGGTTATTTGCACCGTTTTATTGATTGGATTGCTGGTAACATACAAGCTGTATAACCATTGCCACAGGAAGGAGATACAGCGTTGTGTGAACGAAATGACGTTAAAACGATACACCAGTATCCTACGCAGACAACAGACACACTTGACTGCTACAACACTCCTCAACGGTATACAGTAACTACTTCGTGTTTGGGGTTGATAAATTTGTAATAATGAGACCTTTACACCTAGATGGAGTGGGACTGTCATTAAGGGTCTGATGATGAAGAAGTGTAATTGTTAAGGGAACTCCACAACGGTAAACAGTAACTACCTTGTGTTTGGGCTTGTATAATTTGTATTGATTACAACTTTTCACCTTTCTTAGCTAGCTTTATAGTAAAAATGATAAAATAAAAACAAACAAATGGTAAAAACTAAAAATAACTATTATTAGTACTGATAGGTTACCCACCCACTGATAGGTTCGAAGTCGGTGTCATGAGCTCATATCGTAAATTAGTTATCTATTAAGGTTTTAATATAATTTTAATGAACCCTTTCCTCCAATCAAGTTCCGTACATACGTTACTGATATAATAAACTAAATTAGAATAATTAACTAATACCGACCTATTGTTGTCGGTAGAATTCATTTTATTAATTTAAATATTATTTTCTTAACTTAAATATTTGACTGCCTCGTTGGCCGAGTGGTCGCAAGTGCGGAATCGAACCCGAGACCCCTTGCCCGGCGGCAAGGGGTCTCGGGTTCGATTCCAGGGTCGCGCAAACTATTACTTACTGGGTTTTAAAAAACAATTCTCAGTAGTAGCACGGAGTCTGGAATTGTGCCCGGTATATGGCAGTAGGCTCACCCCCTATTGGGACTCATAACATAAATAGTGAAAAGTGGGTGTTACATTGTACAGTGGCATAATGTGTGCACCTCTGCCTATCCCTTTGGGGATAAAAGGCGTGATGTTATGTTACGTTATTATTTTCATGTTTTAGGAATACTTACAGAAATAATTGTACCAGATTCTAAAAATTATTTGTCTACAGTCGTGTGTACATAAGACGAAGTTTGCTCACTGGAGAAAAATATACATACACAAATGTGTCCAGTGTGTATAGTATATACCAGCTATGTATAGTATATAAGTACATACATACTATACATAGCTGGGTCGGTCATTAACTTTTTTTATGGAATAGAAGGCAGACGGGTCACCTGATGGTAAGCGACCAGCGCCGCCCATGGACACCATACATATTAAATAAAAGTAAAGTTATTCAGAAATTGAGTTTATTTTATTCTTAACATAAAATGTAGAAACAATAACATATGTACACAGTATACACAGTATGTCCCGCGGCCGGCCACTGCAGCGGAACACTCCATGCATAATTTATATAACAACCTGCAGTACACTTGTCCAGTCCCGCGGTAGCACATCTCTCATTATTTACGAAAACAAAGTAACAACATCGGATGCACCGCGAGTGTGGCGCGATATGTTTCCCGAGTGACCCGCAGCCGCCACGCAACCCGCAACTGTCCCGACTTGTCCTTGTAGCGCTGTAGCTGATCACTGCAGCGGGCGTGGCGACAATGGCTGCCTACTGCCTACCTAACTTTTATATATTAAATATCTCTCAGTCCTTGTCACAACTAACATACACACTAACCTAGGCTCTAACGCACTAACACATATGTCTCTCACATACACACATACACACACACACACACACACATTCATGTCTTTTTATACCATTACTAATTTCTTAATTTTGCTAACATTCTCAGCACTGAATATCACCTGGTTGGTATTGAAAGTAATCAGAATAAACGTGAGTCAACGCTATAAAATTATAATTATTATGAAAATATATCATGGAACTAATATAAAACATTACACAAAACGTGTCTACTTGAACTCGACCAGCGAGCGTCACACAATCGAGCACCAGGAGCGCTGTAGCGTCCTACATGCGAGCTCGTAGTCAGTAGCACATAACCTACGAGCATGTGTAGCTTCGTATTCGTAGGTTCGTAACCTACTACGCGCGCTCTGTACCGCGTAGGCTCGTAGCCTACTGCGCTTGGTATGGAGCGCGTAGCCTCGTCATCTACTACGCGTGCCCTGTACCGCGTAGGCTCGTAGCCTACTGCGCTTGGTATGGAGCGCGTAGCCTCGTCATCTACTACGCGTAGTCTGTAGCGCGTAGGCTGGTTGCCTACTACACGTGGTCTGTAGCGCGTATTCTCGTTGCCTATTACGCATGGTCTGTAGCGCGTAGCATACTACGAGTGGTCTGTAGCGCGTAGCCTCGTAGCTCGTAGTTTGTAGCGCGTAGTACGCTACACTATTAGTTTCTACCGAGCTCACACATACATACATTATACATTCATACGCAGTCATCCACAGTCTATAACTACTTATATGTGTAAAATGAGCGTAACAACATCACATAGTAGGTAACAATATCATGATAGTGACGTCACTCGGCACAGGACGCCGTCAGTGCGAGTATTGAGTACAGCGCTCTACGCCCTCTTGTGGCATTCTAGTACAACAACTATTGAGAAATGAACGCAAGTAATAAGTTGGAGTGTGTGTTGGAATGGGTCCACGTGGAGCGTCTCCGGTAGCCTAGGAGTCGCGCGTCGCCAGGCGGGCCGCGATGGCCGCTGTCAGCGCCGAGCCCTTGCCGCTGCCGTCCTCGGCACCCAGCAACGAGAACTGCAACCGACATGTGTTATGGCATCCGAGCTTTTATAAATACGTTTTCGTTGTACAAACAGTACCTATATATTTATTTACAGTCAACCTTTGGGTTCAGTAAATATTCAGCGAAAATAGGCTTGTGTAATATACAGTAATATTTAACAAAATAAACAATAATTAATAGTAATTATAAATACTCTATAACATATTTAAAACATACAGCACAATATATATAATAAATATAAAATATATACATTCATACATATGCACATGTAGTGTGTGACCAAAAATTACGTAAATTTATCCATTTATATGATTTTTGGTTGTGCTTCCCTCTTGGTGGGATATCAAGAGTTTCATTGCGAACTACCCCAGCTCAGCTCAATCAATATTTTATTAATTTTATACTCATCTACTAATTCTGTAGTGATAGTAAGTTTGTGTCGTGTCGGTAAGTAATGAAATAGCGGCAGTTAGTGTTACCGAGTGGTGTGGCGCCAGTAGCGCGATGTACGTGCGCATGAGTCGAGCGATGCGCGGGTGGTGCTTGAACACGGAGCCGTCCACCGCCACCGCCACGTGCGGCCGCGACATGCGGCGCACCAACGTCGAGATACCTGCACCACGGCCCACTCAATATACAAGCATACACTCCACGGCTGTGGTCAGTCAACTAAACTATATGAAGCCTTGTTTTATTTTGAAGACCACTTTGAACTGGTTCCATAGGTTTTTACTGATCGAACCAAAGGGTTATTTCGCTAAGGTGTGACAGATAACACTCTGTACAACACGATTATATCTAGAGTTATCTCAGTCGCATTTGTAAATTGAAAATAATCAAGGCATTGAGCAGTAAGAGATAACTTTGTAAAAATAATGTTGTTCAAATTAGATATTATAAGGTCCAGGCAGACGCCGGTTACTCACACACTGAGACAAGTTGCGCGGCGCGGTTGGATATGACGTGCGCGACATGTTGCGCGACGCGCGCGTCTTCCGCCGTGATACTTGCGCCGGCGCATACCTCGCGAAGCGCCGTCATCGTGCGGGACACCTCTCCTGCACAGTTCTCTCTGGAGAAGTAAACAACGGCTTTATAACATAAAGAACTACGGTACACGTATTTGGATGTGTTAACCTAGCTACTTCAGTAATAAAATCGCACTACATGAATTGAGCAGCTAAGCGATAGTAGACCAATATTATACTAACTCTTCAAAGAGGCTCAGATGAGCAGTCTGCAGCGCGTCGGGCGCTGGCTCGGCCGGGAACAGTCCCGCCCGCGCCAGCGCGCTCAGCACACACGACAGAATCGAACCCAGGTACTTGCCGCCGATGTACTTCTCGAACCTGCACACACACACAACAACCACACTACAGTACAGCCACAGCCCCACTCAGTACTCAATACTCAGTACTCTAGCCGGACAGCTCCGCGACTTACGTGAATGAGGTCGCGAGCAGTGAGCCGGCGTCCACCTCGCGGTCGAAGTCTGTCTTGATGAAGTCGAGGCAGCCGTTGTCCCCGAAGGCGCCCCACTCGATGTCGACGCACACGTCCTGCACGCGCTCGTGCGCCGCCTCCCAGTGCTGCACGCGCGACGCGCGCTCCATGTAGCAGCCGTTGGAGCCCGTGCCCAGGATCACACCGATCTGTAGTCGACAGTGCACACTCATGTACAGGCTGTCAGGCTGGTCGGCGCATGGACCGACACAATTTTTTCAGGGATTTGGAAGGTCATTAACTAACTTTTACCCAAAAATCTTCGTTCCTAATGTGACGCTGGTCACATATGATTTTTTATTGAAAATAAAAAGATTTCCCAAATATTTTTCATTAATTCGAAATAACTTTTTCTCAATGCGTCTCAACCTCAAAAACAAAAAGCCATTTTAAACTTAGTTTTATTTTATTGTGGTGGTCCATGCGCCAAACCCGTGTATACAGCGACACAGACACGCGTGACGTCCTCAGCCCGCGCGGTGCCTGCACCAGTACGTACCCCTACGTTCTTGTGCATGTGTGCGCCAGCGATGAGTGTGCCGGTGGTATCGTTGAGTAGGACGCGCACTGTGATCTGAAGATTGCGCGCGCGCAGGCAGCGCTCCAGTAGCGCCGCCACGTCCACGCCCTCTAGTCCCGAGCACTTAAAGCTCTTCGTCCACGTGATGAGCTCTCCGGACGAGATCGAGTGCTGCTTCATCGGGAACGAGAATGTGAACCCTGCACACAATACACGAAAAAAATGATGACCACTTAACAACATTCTTAAACGTCATGTAGTGTAGCAATAGTTCATCGATGACATAGTACTCACCTAGCGAGAAGGTCTGGTCCTCCATGCCCAGCTGCTTCACGAAGTCGAGCACGCAGTCTGCCAGGAAGTTGAACAGCTCCTCCCCCGTGCCCAGCCGCAGCGCGTTACTGCGAACACATGTCATGTAAGTTACAACCAGGCACGGAACTCGCTGACAAGTGACACAGTGCTACACCGTACCTGATGTGGTAGTGCTTGACCTGCTGTCGCACCAGCTGGCCGGCCGACAGCTCCAGCAGCAGCACTCGGAAGTTGGTGCCGCCCAGGTCCAGCGCCAGGAACACGCCCTCCTCTGTATCATTTAACGTCTATTAGCAATGCAAGTGTGGTGACCGCGTACTCGCCAGGAGTTGTGGTTCATACCAGTCCCGTCGGGCAGCTCCGGCACGTAGGTGTTCTCCATCTGCAGACTGGAGGGCTGCTCGCTGAGGCCGCGCTCTATCTCCTGCTCGAACACATCGGCCACGCGGCGCAGCACCTCCCCGCACAGCACCAGCTCCTTCAGCCGCGCCTCCACCTGCAACACCACGTGACCCACTTCAGCGCCGGACCACTCTAGTATACTAGTGGACTAAATAAGAAACTTTGCAAGCAGGTTGGAAACGAAGTAATTTTTTTTTATCGGAGATGGTTACAAATTTGTAGTTCCTCGTCACCACGCGCCACTCCACAAATGCACTGAAACCAATTATAAGTACTCGCTGCATCATCACTCATACTTGCTCGTAAGTAATAAGTGAGTGTGAAGTTTAAACAGACAGCGATACAGGAAGCGCTCATCGATCAAGTCTTTGACAGTTATGCAGGCCTCTACCCGGGGAGAGTGAGGGGGATGTGGGGGGAGGGTGATATCGACAGCATTCATTAGGAGCTATATTGTGTGGGACGCGGTGTACTGCCTCCGAACAATGCCGAGCTTATCGAACATAATTTTAGACAAGATTGCATTAAGACGCGCAGTCGCCATGAATTAGCACTTACGATAATTAATTATCTCATTATAGCTTTACATGGAGCGCCTCAAGCAGTGGACGCTGAGCCCCGGCAGATCATGACTTCCTCTTCAGCACTATTGCAAAGTACCAGGCATAGTACTGAAAGGCTGCGTGCCCAGCCACACACGTTAACATAATTATGCGAGTGATAAATACATCAGCTGTAGGTATAGGCTCAGTATCTAAATACATGTGGCCGCCTACTGTTATAATTAACTAATTATCTGATAACACCCTCACACAGCTATCCAAAGCAATCTCTGTGCCTGACGTGTGTCTACAAATATTTGGTAGTCATTCACTGTGTGATAGACTCGGTGCCAACTAATACAGCAGTCGCTTAATGAATACAAGCCCAGACAAGCACCTTTCTTTCGACACTGGTGGGTGTAGCGAGCGTGGTGGATGACCAAGACAGTAACAAGTTAGGCACGGACATAAAGACAACTAACTCTCTCTCTCTCTCTCTCTCTCTCTCTCTCACACACACACACACACACACACACGAACATCAGATATTCGGGTTTATGCGTGTGTCGGCAGTTTGGCAAAGTGCAGACAGTGCAGTACAATCATTCCACTGCAAGGAGCTCTCTTGTTAAGAAATAATAGTCCAGTGCAAGAGAATATCGTCGTACGTCTGCATTAGGTATCAAAAGTTATAATATAATATGATTTTCAGACTTAACTTGACAAAATATATTTTTATTTAGCAGTCCCATTCAGTGAGTGAGGTAGGCGGCTGTAGTTGCCAGTAACAGTGTAGCGGGAGCCACTGTATGGCATACTGCCGTGTCGGTATCATCGTCAATCGTGACCTCGCGATAGTTGACACCAGGGTCAATGCTGTCCAAACCGACCGTGATAAAGTATTGCGTCGCGTGTGCATAATGTTATGTAGGTAGGTTTACCTTCTGTGCACGCACGCTGTCCTCGAGGTGCAGCGGCGTGGGCAGGAACTGCTGGCTCCAGGGGCGGGGGTCGTGGTGGCCGTTGGTGGCCGACTCCGCGCAGTGCACGCGCCCGTTCAGCGCGCCCGTGCCGCTGTCCACCGCAGCTGACATCGTGAGGGACCTGCGGACCACCACACTGCTCACTACGGCGAACACAAGTACTACGCAAACTATTCCACTATAAGATTGTTATCGAAACTAAATATTATTTACGTTATTTCGCTGATAACCTGACGGACGTACTTGACATCTTGACACAAACAATACACGATTGCTGTGACCTCAGCTTCGCTAATCTGAACCTATTCCGCCCGACGAGTAGATAAAGTGTGAATGTTACCTAATGCCGGGAGTTGGTGGATCTCGCTGACTGCGAGACTGACAATCATAGCGATTACTTCCCGGAGTGCGCAGGCGCACAGTCTCTCCCCTACTGCGTCGCGGTGTGAGGAGAGAGGGAGCCGTGCTCTGTGTCACAAACTGACCACACTATACCCACCATAGAGTTGCACCTTCCGTGTCTATGTTCTTATCGTACGAAACAATGACATTGGAGAGGTTCGACGACTCGCGTTCAACGAGGCAGCTAAGGTTGTAGTTTCGTCCCGGCAGCAGCCGGCAGCTTCACCGTCGTACATGTAATGTTCACCGGTATTTTAACTTTGAAAGCGTAACTTTTTAGCTCAATAGATAATGGAACCCAGGATACAATCGCACCGCCGGGCTACAACCGCACTCTACGACTACATAGCAGCAGTAGCGAGCGGTGGCTGCAGGAAGTCAATAATGCACTTTGTACTGGACTGCTAATGTCTTTTTCTTTTTAATTTCTCTAATTTTTATTTGAAACGGAAAGCGGTGGAGTGGTTTTCAGAGAGGAGATTGCCCATTTTTCTATGGACCGCCGTTTGTTACAAATAGGAAACGGTTTTAGTATAGGTATTAATTAATCGACAGGAAGATTTGAATCAGTTTTTTAAACGTATTTTATAATTATTGATACATAAGATTAACATTTTTATAATTTCCAACAATTTGCATATTGACGTGTGAAGTATCGTTATCGCAGCTCGCGGCTGGCACCGACCGGTTCTGATTAAACATCATCATATCATTCACAAAAACAATAATCACTGCTACTATCATCATTTGCACTATTATACTGCAGATATGTAAAGCTTACATACAATTATAGATCTTAATATAATCACCATAAGGACGACTGTATCTTCTAAGTCCGAGAAGATTATGTTAAATACCAATGAATGCAATAGAGCGACATCACTCGTCGTAGCTCGGTGCCTGCCGCCCGCCGGGCTGGGGGCTGGTGGCTGGCGAGGAGGACACAGCACTGTGCACTCGGCACACGTGACTACGTGACCAGCAAAGTTGTTGTTGCAGCACAACAATGGAGCGAGCAATAATGTTTATTTTATTGTATACAGCTTCATTACACTTCCGCTTGTGAGTTCACCATTAGATGCAGCATTCAGTAAATACTGGCGTGTTGCTGACACACGTGCGAGTTTGTGTAGTCGCCTGTCTCTGCTTGGACCGACGGCGGGAGCCAGGTGGTGTCGCGCGCGACGTGAGCGTGACGCGGCGCCGCGCCTCCCGCCAGTCCGCCTCCCAGCGTCAACACAGCCTGGCGCCATACTTCACGCGCTCGCAGTACTGTACTCCCGAAATGCTAACATTGGCATGATCCATGTTTGGCTAACATTTTTTATTACTTCTTCCGAACGCTCTGATCGCTTCCAGTAGTCAACTAGGTGGTTATATACACAACGTACAGAACGCCAAATGTTAGTTAGTTAATGTTGTTAGGAACCTATGGATGTCTGCACACCGCGAGTGTCTGTATGCATGTTGCTGACTATACTGTTACTACATATTTCTTACTCTGTCTCTCCTAGGGGTTGTAAAATCAAAGTCATAAATATGTTGGACTTGAGTGACTCGGTACAATTCGGTCAGTTCCCTTCTGTTAGTCTGTTACTAATTACAAATCATCAAGCGTTAAATAAATCATATAAGTGTTCGATAATGAGATGTGCTATATACTGTACACAGTAAACGTGTACAGGCATCAACAGGTGTTTACTTAGCACCAGACACACAGACAGAAGTACCTACATATTATTATACACAGTACGAACAAAATGTTGATCTAAATGATTGAGGTAAATATAATATCCGTGAGTAGTCCGTGACACCGCGGACAGTCGCCGCGCGCCACGTACTGTTATTGTACGCAGCGCGGGGTGTCAGCCATTGTTGACAATAAATCACTGTCACACTGTCACCACACCAGACATGCGTGTGTATGTGTGTGTATCGATACACACACACTGGAAGTGAAGGTCTGTCTCTACGGTCTCCATACTTTTGTCATCAAACAAAGTTCAGATTTATCAGAGGGCTATTAATCTACCGAGAGGGGTTTTGGTCTCAATTCTATAGAGCCAGTCTAGAGCAATGTATCTATCCTTTCGGTACAGGGAGAGCAGTCGTAGTGTGGTGCAAACAAGACTGACTAACTGCCCGGAGTGTAGAGCCACTACAGCCTCGCAGCACTGCACGAGTAGCGGAGCGGTGCCGCATGTCGATGGTACGCTGCGTGCTGTGATAAGCATCGCCGTCCTTCAGCGGTATCTGTTCGCAGGCAACGTTCGATAAGTGCGAGGTGGGCCGCGGATTAACCACATTAGGCGAACAGCGATAGCATAATAATTAACAGAGCGATAGTTAGCGACTACTGACAGTAGTAGCAGTACACAAGTTACTGTTAACACAGCCATCAGCCGTCACTATCGACTAGGCTCTCCACTAGGGACGCCACTTAACAGCAAGAGAAGAACAACACCATCGGTCAACAGAAATTACATCACTTTCGGAAATAATTACACGTGTTATACGATTTGTAATTCACGTTCAATGTGTAGATAAACATAGCTAGACGTAGACAACACTACAGTACAGATACATACACTAATTACGTATGACATTGTTGTTTAATGGAAATAAAGTTTCATTCAAGAAACGTGACACGTTCAACTGGTCAGTGAGGAGCAGAGCGGCCGCGTGGCACGGCCTTACGTACACTACATGCTACATGGGTAGCGCACGCGTCATTAACATTTGTCTTGTGGATACTCCGGTGAAGCACAACATATACATGTAGCTCACGCCGCCAGTGACTACGCAGACAGAGCCGTCAATTGCTTTTTAATAAGTAATCATGTACTGCACGTATATCAGTGTATCAGTGTGAGTGCAACAATTGGCCACAAAACACACACTACTACGTGCATAGTACATACAGACCACGTGTGAGGTCTATTAGAGAATGAGCACCGAGTCACTGGCGACGCTAGCGAGTGCAGCACAACTATACCTTCACTTAAGGCTAAATAAGTAAATTACTACGTGCGGACATTTCACAAGAAACTTATTAATTGTTTAGTATACATTACTATTTTTAGAAACGTTAGAGAAAATTACTTATAGATAGTGTTCGGATAATGTAATGGAATTTGTTGTGGCTTCCCTTGACTAGCGCCTCCACCCTCGGCGCGTACTAGTACTACTAGCATGAGATGGCGATGTCTGTCGGAGCGGGGAGTTTGAGCGTTTGATCATCTGATCACGCTCGTCGCGATATCGGCCGCGTGTCACTGCAACAATTGGGCACTTGGACGTTGGACCAGCAGCGCTAACTGAACAAATTCCCAATGAATACACAGCTACAAAGACACAAATTGCTCCCAATACAGTGCTCTCGCGTGAGGACGGGTATGTCCCTCTGACTGCCAGTGCGCTTAATGACTACATCAGATAGTGCTGCCCGCCTCCGCTCCCCAAACCCAATCAATGTCTAAAAATAACCACGACTGAGGAATCAAACCGAGCCACAATAGCCTTTACTTGTTGTCAACTGCTGTAACAGAGAGTTGGGAGAGTGTATTCAAGTGTTGTAACTTGTGTTGGACACGGTTGACGGTGGAGTAAGGTCGCTGACTACATGGATGTAGTGAACCTGACGTAGGTGGGAATCTAAACTATACTGAACATTACAAGCATTTTCCAAACTGAAGAATGCCAATATCCTCCCTTCTCCTTCCAATATTTTAGGACGAGAAAGAAGAAAAAAGTAAGTCCCTTTTAGATGACGACGACGGCACGCTTGGTGCGGTAGCTGGGCAACCGGCTGACACGCAACGTGTCGCGAGTTCGATTCCCGCACAGAGCAACTATTTGTGTGAACTAAATTGATGTTCCGGGTCTGGGTCTCACGTGTGTGTAAACTTGTATGTTTGTAAACGCACCCACGACACAGGAGATAATCCTAGAGTGGGGCAACGTTATTTAAAATAAATGTTTAGCAGGGTTTGTATAACACATTGTAGATATTATACACGATACTAGTGCTGTGTCATTACTGTGGTGTGCTGCAGACTGCAGTGTATGCAACTGTGCAGTGGACTGACAGGAGCGTGACAGCGTGACCGCGTGTCGCGTCGGTCGGTGGCCCTCGGTCTATGAGCGAAGACTCCCACAGCGCCATACTGATTTATTGGCTTAAATGGGTAATTTGCGACGCCGGCGCCGTTCTCACACTCATCGAATGATCTGGAGCAGTTGAATATCTACCAATGTCTGACCTGCCTCGCTGTGGCTGCTCGACATCTCACAATCTGACCAAGTACTTACTTGCTGTGATTCATTGTGAGACTATATTATATAATCAGCTTATTATTAAAGGTTTGATATGGGCTCCATCCCTTTATTGGAACTAACACCGAATCAATTATATGGGGCCCACGAGTCACCGAAAACCGACTTCAACCCCCTCTTTTTTGAAGTCGGTTAATTAATAAAAACTTGTGAAAACAGAATCAAATCTTACGATCAAAAATTGGCAGAACTTAAGAAAACTAATAAAGACTCTGAAGTCACAGCCCTCGTTCATTTTCATGACTCAACAGATAAACTGTAAAAATTACAAACAATAAAAAACATTATAATTTGTCTACAAGATTCTTCCGTACGAATCACATAATTATACAACGCAACAAGGAAATTATCTTTAACATTCATATAAATATAAA